GTGTGTTTGATGGTGAAGGATTGGTGGCTGATTGCCACGCGTTGCCCGCCACTTCGGTCGGTGCCACCAGCGACGACGAAATCCGGAGGTACATTGGGAATTCGCGGTCGCCAGCGACCGCTACAATTGTGTTCAAAGGGACTAGGCTTGGTGTAAGGCCAGCTCCTGTGGTGGCATCATTTTCGGCAAGAGGGCCTAACCCTGTTTCACCTGAGATTTTGAAGCCTGATGTTAGTGATTAAGGGAAGAGAAAGGAAAGGCGTAATTGAAAGAGAGAGAAAACGGACGGGGATGGAGCCACCGCGTTCGCCAGGAATCTTGTGGAAGGGGGGTGTGAGGGTGCGGGGAAGGGGGGTGTGGGGTGCGGGGAAGGAGGTGTAAATTTAAGAATTTTATTTTATTTTAAAGGTAATTTAGACATTTTATATATATTTTTTTAAAAAGGAGGTGTTTATATGAGAGTGGAAGTGTGTTTATCATCTGCCAGTGTAGCTCATTCCAGCCCAACCCAGTAACAAAAAAAAAGCCACGTGTCATAGGTATTGCTATAGGTCATAGCGACACCGTTGCAAACAGCCCAAATGTATAATTAATTACAAAACAGTCCCATTTACGTAAAATATTTTTAAAACAACACCACAATGGTCAATCAGCCATTATTATACAATATATTGTACAAGTATCATTTATCATTTATCTTCATAATTATTTCAAAATTTAATTCAAACTCGTCCTCAAAATATGTCAGGTCTAATTTCTTAAACTTAAATTTGTCAAAAGTCCCTTTGGATTGGGTCGAGTTGGTGAGACGAACAACTCTCTATAAAAAAAATGTTTTTTTTCTATAAAATTTTAAATCTATATTTTTAGTCTCTACAAAATTAAAAAAAAATGATTTTGGTTCCCATACATTTTTTCTTTGATTTCATCCTTCCAAAATTTGAAATAATTATTTTTGTTCTCTAACATTCATTTAAAGGTAGAAAGATAGATAATGTTCATTTTAAGGATCTAAAAAAAATTAGAACAATGGATACTACTACATGTCTCTTGTGATAGTCACTTGACCTTCCGTAAAACATATACCATTAACAAATATCATATGATAATAGGGACTAAAAATAATTATTATTTTTTAGGGATAAAAAATATTAAAAAAAATACAAAATCCAAAATTAAAACCACCTCATTTTATAAGGACCAAAATCAAATTTAAGCCTTAAAATTTCTAAAAATTATTCTTGTCATCACTTTGGAACGACGTGATATATGTTTAGATACATGTCATGTTACTAACTATTTTAAGACAACATATGCCATAATATATTTATATACATGTAACATCATTAATGAATAGTGATAAGGATCATTTAAAAAAAACATATAAAGACGATAACTAACAAAATAAATTGAAAAATTAAAATTAACCATATTTATAAGGAATAAACATATTTTTCTCATTTTTTTACATGAACAAGGACAATGTGTGTAACAGTTACACACATACAAGAGAGAAACCTCCACCAAGGATTAATTCATGGTTCTGAAGATGATCTTGACAGATACTGACACCAATCTTCAGGTGTTCACCTTTTACTGTCGGCAATTTTAGCGCGGCACTAATTAAAAGGCATAGCAAGTATATCATAGTCCTTTGGAACGTGACTAACAACAAGAACCTTAGTAGTCATAACGGAAAAATTATCACAAAAAGTTAAAACATCTCTTGAAATAGGTAGCATGTTTTAAATGGTAAAGGAAATTAAAGTTTAGAATTTTAACATTGGCAACACTTTCTTGGAAGCTAAAAAGCCTTAATTAATGAGGACATGAATAGCAGGATCAAATCAAGAACACAGAAATGATATGAATGGTGACTTTGGTTCACAACCAAATTTGATATTATTCTCTTATGTCTCGAAAAGAATTAATCTCTAACTATTGATTGAGGGATGTATTTATTATACCTAAAAATAAATAAATAAACATAATGAAGCATATTGTTATAGTTAGTTAGAAGGCAGTACCTTGGAGACCTTAATCAACCTCATTTCTCTACAATTTGTGACCTTCCTTTGAGTTGCATTTGGCACAAGCAGTCACCTATCATCAGATAAAACAGTACAGGGTGTTCTCCATTTAGTGAAATTTTGATAAAATGGAGATGGACTTCAGCTCAATTAAGCTCATAACAAGAAGGAAAAGAAGAAAGAAACACTCCTCATTTATAAATTCTAACCAGGTTTCCACTTGCGTCCCCCTATTGATACTAATCTAGAATTGAATTCAAAATTATTATCCACTCTGCATTATTCTAAGTTAGATCCACTTCTATTTGAAGATAATATATTCGGTTAATTATATAAATAGAAACTAAAAGCAGATATTCATGTAAAAATCTCCTAGAAGAATTAAAAGTAATACCTCCAAGCCTATTTATAAGATCCTCAGTATTGATATCCGTGGAAGATATATCCAAATCAGCTTTGTGGGTCAAACCAAATGTCACCAAAAGCTTTTAAGCATGATATATGGGTCAAAAAGGCGGCATGCAGAGAAATCTCACGAAATGCTTCAGTTTTATTGTTCACCTGGAAAGGAGAATAGAGAAACATGGCTTCACAATACTTACTGAAAAAATAACTAACATAATGTGGATTTTTCAATACAAGAGAGCCTGATAAAGTACTCAAGAACCTGATTCAGATGAAGAAAAGATATAGGACAATACATGCTATGTACACATAAATTGAAGAACACTGTATAAGCATCAAGTTTCAAGTCACTTTCTTACGAATGACATAGGTGACCAATGAAAAATTTTCAGCAACATTTGCCATAAATTCTGGTCCATCCCATAAGTCTAGGCCATAGGAGAGTTCTTCCATTTTAGTGAACCTTCTGCCATCTTACCAGTAATCTTTACAGGAACAAATACCACCCTTAAAATGATGAAAGCGATATGAATCTCTCACTACAATCACTCGATCTGAAATCTTAGATACATGCTTAATCCAGTTGTGGCAATCACGACAAACACGAAGATTTTTAAAAACATGGATAGGAGTAGAGCTAGACAAACTAAGCAATCCAAAAGTAATTGCCAGTTTCTCACTGTGAATTATTTGTGTTGGACCCTTCTGACGCCTTTCTACATCATTCAAAAGGCTATTGGACTGTGGTACATAACCATTTTCAGCTGCCCGTTCATTCAGATTGCTGAGATATTCATATATCTTATCCACACAAGGGTGTTTCTGATCACCAGCAAAAAATGCATGAACTGAATTATTAACATCAATCCAGCTACGACCAGGCTCTTTTTTAACACCTCTATCTTTCATCATTTGCCTTGTCCGATCCCTACAACCCCATTTCCCAGTCACTGCATACATATTTGAAAGCAGAACATAAGTTGCTGAATCTTTGGGTTCCAGTTCCAGAAGATGACTTGCAGCAAACTCTCCAATATCAATATTCTTATGAACAATACAAGCACTTAAAAGTGTCCTCCAGACCATTGCATCTGGTTCAATTGGCATCTCCTCAACAAATCTCCTTGCACGGCTTAAAAGACCAGACCGCCCGAGAAGATCCACAACACATGCATAATGCTCAGGTTTTGGAACCAAACCATGAACTTCACTCATTGATTGAAAATAGCTAATTCCCTCATCAACCAACCCCACATGGCTACATGCTGATAAAACTCCCACGAAGGTGACATGATTTGGCAATATATCAAGCTGCTTCATCTCCTCAAAAAGGCTTAATGCTTCAAATCCATGACCATGTTGAGAATAACCAGTCAGCATAGCATTCCAAGAAACCTCATTTTTCTCAGGCATTTCAGAAAACTGTCTCTTAGCATCATCAATGCTACCACATTTTGCATATAGTGTGATCAACACATTAGAAACTTCAGTTTCTGAATCATAGCCAGTTTTTATAATCATTGCGTGAATCTGCTTCCCTTGTTTAACATTAGCAACATTTGAAGCAGCACTAACTGCAGAGCCAAATGTGAATGAATTGATTTCTAGTCCAGCTTTATTCATTTGAGAAAATAGACTCAGTGCTTCCTCACAATGTCCACTTTGTGCAAAACCAGATATCAATGAGTTCCATGATATATTATCTTTAGCAAATATTTTATCAAAAGCAAAGTATGCTTCTCGTACTTTCCCACCCCTAGCATAAAGACTAACAAGTGCATTACCAACTGAAAGATCATCTGAATAACCAGAGACACATGCCTGAGCATGAATTTGACGCCCTTGATTAAGTGCTTGGATACCTGCACAAGCACTAATTGCACTTGCAAATCCTATATTATCAGATTGTATCCCTTGATCCTGCATTTCTTCAAAGAGGTTAAGAGCTTCAGCAAATTTTTCATGCTGTGCGTACCCAGCAATCATGGCTGTCCAAGAAACAACATCTTTTTCTTTTAGTCTTCTAAGGATTTTCATAGCTGTATCCAATTTTCCATGTTTGGCATACATGTCAATAAGCACACTAGAGACATACACATTGAACTGAAAGCCAGTTTTTAGGACTTGAGTATGAATTTGTTCTCCTAGATCAAGAGCCCTCAAAGAAGAGCAAGTTCTCAAAATACTTGGATAGGTGAATTGATTTGGTACAATGCCTTCCATCTGCATCTGAGTAAATATTTTTAATGATTCATCTAGATCGTCTAACTGGCCATAAGCCACGAGCATCACATTCCACAACACCACATTTTCAGTTTCGGTTGAAAGGAAAAATTCATGCGCTGTTTTTATATCTGAGCATTTTACATAAAGATCAAGCAATGAACCTTCCAAGATAATATCCCCAGACATCCCAGCCTTTATAGCATACGAATGGAATTGCCTTCCTACCAAAAGAGCCCCAACTGATGCACAGGCACTCAAAAGACTTGCAACTGTAATACAATCAGGCTTTAAGCAATCAAGACGCATTTTCTTAAACAATTCTAAAGCTCTATCACTATATCCTTGTTGAGCTAGACCTGAGATGAGCGAGTTATATGAAACTCCATCCCTCTGTGAAATTGAATTAAAAACCTGCTCAGCAGATAACAAATTCCCCATACGGGAATATAATGTCACTAGCGCATTGCAAACATAGGTTTCAGAAGAGAACCCCTGCTTCAGAACAAGGCCATGGAGCTGCTCTCCAAGCTTAAAAAGCTCTATTTTTGTACAGGCGCTTAGAGCACTCGAAAATATGTAAGGGGTAGGACAGATTCCCGATGTGTGCATCTGGCAAAACAGAAGAACCGCCTCTTCTTCACACCCATTTTGCGATAAACCGGATATCATAGCTACCCAAGAAACACTATCCCTCTCTTGTAAACTGTCAAAAAGCTTCTTAGCCGAATTCAAAAGCCCATTTTTTAAGTATAAATCAATCAGAGGATTACATACCAATAAACTATTCTCATAACCATAAGTTATAGCCCATGCGTGTATCTGCTCCACACAGTGAAAAAGAACATCACCACCACCACACCCCCTCAAAACCCCGGCAAAAGTCCTCTCATCAGGCTTCACCTTTTCCCTCACCATTCGCCTAAACAAACCCAGAACATGACCCGTCAACTTCCCAGCAACAAACCTATACAAAACCTTGTTCCAACAAGACAAGGGTCTAACAGGCATTTCATCAAACACCTTTACTGCACCATCCAAGTCATCAAAGGCAATGTACAAATCCATAAGACGCTCACACAAAAACATTTCTGCACAAAAACCCATCTTCAGAATCTTCCCGTGAAGCTTCCGCCCATCAGAAAACGACCCAGAATTCAGACACCCTTCTAAAAGCCACAAATATGTTTGGGAATTCGCACGAACCCCACGCTCTTCCAT